AACTACTGGACTATGGAGTCAAAACAAAGGAAGTAACAATCTTTTGTGACAATCAAAGTGCCATAGCCATCTCTCAAAACCCAGTGCATCATTCTCGCACTAAGCACATTGATGTCAAGCATCACTTCATCAGAGATCATGTGGAAAAGAAAGATATCAAAATTGAGTATATCTCAACTGAAGAACAACTGGCGGATATTTTCACCAAACCACTAAGTGAAGCCAAGTTTTCCGATTTGCTTCACAAAATTGGTCTAATTCAATTAGACTGAATGTAGTGCACATGGCAGTTCACTTTCCACGTCTGTCAAAATGATGGGTGGGAACGTGGCCTTGGGAACAGTATCGCCACTAGCCGCATAAATCGCCCACATTAAATCCCAATCGCCACTATTCAGATCTCAACCGCCCACTCAAAAATACTTTGTCATCTTCTTCGCGAAAAATTCTCATAAATCTGCAAGAACCCTAAGCCTTTATTTCTCAACTTTTCACCCAAAGTTATGAGAAAATGAAGGTTGTCGGTGCAAATGTCCACTTTCAGAAGTTAGAAGCCAAGTACTCATCTCCAACTTTCTTCCAAAACTATCTGCAGATGATAGCCGCTCAAGAACTCTCCGAATTTCTTCGAATGGAGATTCGCCTCAAATTCGAGGAAGAAGTTCTTGAATTCTACAGAAATGGAGAAATCAAATCTGCTCGGTCAAAGAAAAATCCACAGAGCACATTTCTAGTCATCAAGTCCACTGTTGGAGGCTCAAAGGTGAAGCTTTCGCAGAAGAAATTGGGAAGAAAGCTTCGCCTTCCCAATTCTGGAGTTGAAGTTGGGAAATTTCCAGTCAAAAATCTGGACTAGAACATCATTGGAATTTCTGGGCGAACTCCTTCTGGCCTAGCAAAGAAAGCAGATCTGAACAACGATTACAAATTGATTTTGGAACTGGTCATCGCCTGCCTCGAATGTGGGAGTGGAGGTCATGCCGATGACATCACCCAGGAGAGAGCCTTCATCATCAACGCTCTCATTACCAAAACTAAGGTAAACTGGGCTGCACACTTTTTCAATTCCATCTCAAAGCATCTGGGAAAGCCC